AGCATCAGCCTGAATTTTGGTAAGAAAAACAATAGTCTGAAAGGTGTTCCTTTCATATGTGGGGGTGAGTATTTGTTTTACTTCAGGTGAGAAGCCAGGTAATATGCTATGATCGTTTGTTTGGGTATAGCCTGTGACTGAATTAGCTTTGAAGACACAGGCGGTTTTGTTCTGTCATATATTAGAAGAAAGTGTGGGTATGACAAAGTTGAAGAGAGGGAGTGAGAGAGAGAGAGATACAGAGAGAAGGAAAGAGAGAGAGAGAGAGAGAATGATAGAGTGAGAAAGAAGAGAGAGAGAAAAAAGAGGGAATGAGAAAGAGACAAAGAAAGAAAGGAAAGAAAGAATGAAGAAAAAAGAAAAAGAGTATTTTATAATCTCTCATCTCTAAAACATCTATCTCAGTTTGTTCATACCTATATCAGCCTGCTGTTATCTATCTGCCTGTTATCTATCCATCTATGGCTTATGGCCATATCACATTGAAACACTAGTTCTTGTACAATCATATCTCCTGTTAATTCCCCTCTGAAAATTCTCCACTGCCTTAACTGGGTATTGAACTGACACTCTTTGGGTCCTGTCACTGGATCTAACTAATGCCTTTATCCACTGAGCCATGAGTCCTTGGGAACTAGAAGAGTCTACCCCAGTGAGCAAAATAAAGGGTTCAGTTCCTCATTCCAACCACCTGAAGAAGGCCGGAGTGTACAAAGGCCGAAATGTTGTAATAAATATGGCAACAAAGATGAGGACAATAGTCCGAATAATGTACGTTGTGATAAATATGGCAACAAAGATGAGGACAATAGTCTGAATAATGTAAATAGTGTACATAATACCTCATCTCAGAAATATAGACAGATACTGAAAGGCCGAAACGTTGTAATAAATATGGTGACAAAGATGAGGGCAATAGTCCGAATAATGTAAATAGTGTACATAATACCTCATCTCAGAAATATAGACAGATACTGAAAGGCCGAAACGTTGTCATAAATATGGCAACAAAGATGAGGACAATAGTCTGAATAATATAAATAATGTACATAATACCTCATCTCAGAAATATAGACAGATAATGAATCCATGCTTGAACAAAATCTTCAGTACTGAAACATGAAAGAGGCTGTTGCCACTCGACGTTGATCTCAGTGTTTACTCTTATACACACATTGATATTTTGGCCATAAATATAGCATGCTTTAAAACTATTATCATATATATATATATATATATATATATATATATATATATATATATATATAAAATGTACAAAATATGACTGGTGAATTGTTGCCATTTTATATTTTTAATTTTGCACATGAACACTGTTTTTTGAATATGTTGACTGCACAATATAGTAGGGTCTGTTGGGCACCCTCTGTGAGAAAAAGACCACCATGATGCAATTCACTCTGCCAGAATTTTGGAAATAGCATTCACACCAGAAGCTCCAATACAAATTTTTCAGAATTTGGGTGTCAATCTGAGGACAGTGCTGAGGATTTAGAATGAGTTGGATGAGTCTAATGGTGATTACGAAGCTACGACAGCTCAGAAAGCTCACTCTGATTGTTCTGATAAGAAAACAATTTGCAAATTTGTTGGTGAGGGCTTCAGACTCAATACAGAGGCCTACATCAAGTGCCTTGAGGAGGTAGTCCTGCCCAGGGTGAAGAGGGTGGCTGCTGGAAGACCTTATGTCCACGCAAGCAGAACCCAGTCATGGCTGTCAGGCAATTTCTGTGAGCACATCACCCCTTATATCTGGCCACCTCACTCCCCAGACTGTAAGCCCCCTGATTATTTATTGGGTGTGGGGCGCAGTTGAGTGAGAGACCAACAAAACTTCTTGATAGATGTAATGCACACTGTTTAAAGTATAAATAAAAATAAGATGCCTATTTCAAATATGAGTAAACCACTAGATAACACTCAAAGTTATCGGTTGTGATCGGTAAATTGTCGCCATTCTATGTTTTTAATTTCACACATGCACATTGTTTTTGATTTTGTTGACTGCACAATATAGTAGGGTCAGTTAGGCTCCGTCTGTGAGAAAAAAGAGCAACATGATGAAATTCACTCTGCCAGAAATTTTCTTGTACTGATTGGTGTTAATGCCGGAAGCTCCAATACAAACATTTCAGAATGTTTGAATATCGATCTGAGAATTCGGAAAGAATTGGATGATATATCCAGTAAACATCATAGTGTTTGAACTGATCACTAGTGATGGCAACGTTATGCCTCCATTCATCTTCCCACAGGGCCTCAGACTTGACACAGACGCCTACATCAAGTGCCTTGAGGGGATTCAAGAGGGTGGCTGACAATAGGACTCTACACCATGCAAAACAAGCAGGAGAACCCAGTCACAACAGTCAGAAATTTCTGCAACCACCTCACTCCTTACATCTGACCACCTAACTCCCCAGACTGCACCCCACCTTGATTATTATATGTGGGGCACAGTTGAGCGAGAAAACTCCTTGTA